GACAAAAAGAGATAAGGAGGAAGAGAAGAGGGAAAAAGAGAGAGCGAGGAGACAAGCAGGGGTAGGAGAGAGAGAGCGCGAGAGAGGGGCGTGGCAAGCAGCGCCGAGGAGAGGGGAGGAGAGGGGCGAAAGGAAGGGGGGAGAAGAGAAGGGAGACAACAAGGAGGGTGGGAGTTAGGAGGGGAGCGGAGAGGGGGGAGAGGGGAGTAGGGAGACGAAGGGGGAGAGAGAAGAAAGGGAGTGAGTGAGAGAAAGGAGGAAGAGGAGAGGAAAAAGCCAGAAGGAGAAGATGAAGTGGTAGACGGGAGGAGGAGAAATGACGGGGAGAAGGGTGAGAGTAAGAAGAAATAGATGGAGTGAGGACGAGAAAGGAGAGAGAGAAAAGAAGGAAGGAGGGGAAGAGGGGGAGAAGAGAAGAAGGGAGGGAAGAGAATGAATGAGAGAAGAAGATGAGGGGGGAGTCAGGGAGATGAGAGGAAGAGGAGAAGGGGAGGAAGATCGAGAGAGAGCAGAGTGGAGGATGAAGAGAGGAAGAGGGGGAAGAAGGGAGGAGATAGAGGGTGAAAAGAGAGAGAGGACGGGTGGAGGGAAGAGCAGAAGGGAGGAGGAGAGGAGAGAAGGAAGAGAAGGAGGAAAAGAGTGAGGCAAGGAGGAAGAGAGAGAAAAGAGTAGAGAGGAGAAATAAGAGAGGGAGAAGATATGAACGAGGGAAGAAGAAATTAGGAGGGAAGAGGAAAGGGACAGGAGGCGGAGGGGAGAGAGAGAAAAGGGGGGGCAGGGAGGGGATGAAGAGGGGGGGCAGGAAGATAAGGAAAAAGAAGGATAAGAGAGGACAAGTGGGAGAAAAAGTAAAATGGAAGAAGATAAGGGAAGACAGAGAGGTAAGAGAAGGGGGAGGGCAGGAAGAAGAGGATTGAGAAAGGAGAGAAGCAGAGAAAGGAGAGAACGAGAGGGAGATATAGATGGGAGACCAGGGGGATGATTGGAGTGAAGAGGGATATGAGGAGGGAGAGAAGGGCGGGCCGGAGGGCGCGACGAGGTGACAGGGAAGGGAATCGGCGGCGGGTGACACAGGGGGGCCTGACGCGGAGGGAGAAGGGGAGGGGAGGTGGGGCTGGGGAGAGGTGACGGAGCAGAGAAGAGGGGGGGGAGAGAGAGGTGCGAGAGAGGATGCAGATAGAGCGGCGGGCTGGATGAGAGGGGGAGAAGGGAGGGGGTGAGGAGGAGGGGGGAGGCATTCGGGTGGACGGAGCGCGGGAGGGAGTGAGCAGGGCGAGAGGAGATGGAGGTGGGTGCGAGAAGACAAGAACCGAGAGAGAGGCATGAGGAGAGAGGAGAGCGAGGACGAGGGAGATGATTTGACCGATACAGTCCTTCCGGAGGCGGGGATGCATTATATCAGAAGAGGAGGACGAGGGGGGATCGAAGGGGTGGTGAGCGGAAGGGATGCATGGGGGGGCGGGGGGGGGCGTGCAGGAGACTGGGGAAGTGGCGGACGAGGAAGAGAGGAGACCCTTAGGAGGAAGGGGTGGAGAGACTGAGGAGTGCGGGGAGAGAGAGACGGACGGAGCGGGAGGAGTACCTGAGAGGGGTGTCGGCTGTGAACGGCACCTCACGGCGATGGGCGCGGCGGGGCGAGCTTACGTCCCCGCCCCCAGGGGACAGGGAGGAGGGGGGAGAGAGAAGAACGGTAGACCAGGAGAGATGCCAAGTGGAGGAGGTGGACGAGGGGGAGGAGGAGAGAGACTGAGGAGAGCGGACTAGGGGGGTAGAACGGACGGTAGAGCAGACGGGAGGAGGGCAGAGGACTGTGGGGGGGGAGGGGGCGAGGGGGCGGGGTGACGGCAGAGGAAGATGGAGCAAGGGGGAGAGGGAGAGAAAGGCGAGAGGAGAGGGACAGATGGGACGAGGAGAGATAGAGAGAGATGAGGGAGGGGGGACAGGAAGAGGAGAGAGATGGGAGGAGAAGGAGAGAGAGAGAGTATTTCAAGAGAGTGAGAGAGAGAGAGGAGGAACCCGCCCCGCGCGCCCCCGGCGGTCCGCCCCCCCCCCGCCGCCGCGCGCGCTCCCGTCCCCACCGAGGGATGAGAGGAGGAGAGGCGAGCAGGAGGAGGAGCAGAGGAGGAGGAGAAGACGAGAGAGAGAGAGAGACCGATTTGTGAGGAGAGAGAGGGAGAGAGAGGCGGAGACATAGTCTGACAATGGAGAGAGAGAGAGAGGAGCTGAGAGAGAGAGAGAAGAGATAGAAGATGGAAGGAGAAGAGAGGAGGGAGATGTGATGACGAGAGGATGACGATGAGATCGAGAGAGAGAGTGAGATGAGGAGGGGAAGAGAGGGAAAAGGAGAGGAAAGAGATGAGATGAGAGAGTTGAGAGAGAGAGGGAGGAGGAGAGAGAATGAGAGAGAGAGAGAGAGGAGAGAGGAGAGATGAGGAGAGAGGAGGAGAGACGAGAGAGAGAAGAGAGAGAGATGATGAGGAGAGAGAGAGAGAGCAGAGAGAGAGAGGAGGAGACGAGAGATGAGAGAGAGGTGGAGGGAGAGAGAGGCAGAAGTAGAGAGAGGAGAAGTGAGAGAGGAAGAGAGGAGGAGAGTAGACGAGAGAAAGAGGAGAGAGATGCGTCGGTTCACGACCGCGACGTCGCGTTAGGTTCGTCTGCGCGCGCATCACTGCCCTACGCTGAGAAATTATTCTCATACTACAAGCTCAGACACGAGGGGGCCGCATGGGTGGGACTTTGGGGAGGGAGGGGCGGTGGTAATGAGGCGTTAGGGCGGAGCGAGCCGCTCCCCCCTCTTTCTCGCCCTCTCTCTCTCTTGGCACCCTGTATGCGGCGGGGGGGGTAGAGAAAGACAGCGCGACAAGAGAGAAGGCAAGCACATAAGCCAGTCAGTCAACTCCACGGTCGCACACAATAACCCGGGTTCACCCGTGTATGCCTTTGAAACATCCCCCTGACCCCCCACCGTCCCTACCCCAAGGCAAAACGCCTCCGTTTCACGCCACTGACTACCAGTCAGAGTCGGACTAGCGCAGCAGCAGCAGCAGCAGCAGTGTTATGGTAATGGCCCAACCAGCAGAACCTGTTTGGTGAACCAGTGTAGTGGTCTGCCAGTAGGCGTGTAAATCCTTAACAGGTAGGCTTGTGCAGCAGGCAGGGGGGGTCGCGACGAACAGAGCGGATCGGGGGCGAGCCGCGAGACGAGTAGCAGATAGTACGCTTGAGAGCAGACGACGACGACGAGCAAACGCGGCGTCGATTGCCACGCAAACCACTTCTGGTCTCGTCTCTCGCTGCGTCTCTCGCTGCGTCTCACAGCGACCGACCGGACACAGATTCAAAAACAGTTCGACGTTGTGGGAGTTATAATAGTGGAGTGCTTTCCGCACACTGCACTAACGAGATACGAGAAAGATTAAGAGATTTACCTACTTTTTACGTTCGTCACTGACTGCTTTGTGTTAACTTTTTATATGTCTGACAGTCCACTTATTGAGTTTATTCACAATAAGTACATAATTCTTCTACAAAGATGGCCGATGCGACAAAAGTGATGGGAACTAACGTTCATGTGTCAAATTGAGCAGTTTCTCTCTAATATTATAATAAACCGGTATCGCATTATGTAAACACTTTTTTATTGCGTCGTTAAATGCTTCAAGCAGATTATTTTTACTGCCAAAACTTTTTGGGGGGTTTAATTCTCTAAAAGGGATTTCAACTTAAATTTACGAAAACTTAATTAACGGGCGAGTTTTTGGCAATTTCATAGCCCACAGTAAATAGCGCTCACTAGGCAGTAATGCAGAGTTTATGTCACACCGCAAGAAATACTGGCAGCTGTTTTACGAGACAGACGCTGTCACAAGGACAGGAAGACGGACCATCACGAAGAAACAATGTAAGAAAATAACGGCAATCCATCTACACCAAAAAACATGTCATGTCACAAAGTAATGCTTTTGCGATTTGCTGCCTTCGCGCAACAAGGTTAAAGACGTTTTCACGATCATTTGCGATGCCGTCTGTGTTATTTTACTGTCGTTATGGTTCTATCCATGTTCCCAAGTATCTAGCTCTAGTACTATAGCCCGCGGGCTATAGTACTAGAGCTACCAAGTATCCTGCTTGATAAATGCTACATCCATTGTGCGAATGCAATAAAATGATATCACTGCTAGTCACAGGCTGTGAAAAGCACCAAATGAGGTGCTTGAATAAACATCAACCCAATCTTTCGCGTCACGCTTCTCTATATGACACCACAAATTAAAAATAAAAGGAATTTACAGGAATGGGGGCGGGAACAAGGGCAGCATACGCATGTGGCAATCTGTAGAATGAGTAATGATAGGGAGGTTCCAGCCTACTCCCAGACAACCTCTTTAACATATGCAAATACTAATCATATCGTATCCTAAACGTAACGTACGTAACAGTAAATAAACATTTGTGAATGATTTATGCTAAACTTAAACGCTACTGTGACTGCTAGAGCGAGGCAGAGGCAGGTTGCTCACACTGGCAGAAATACCAGCTCTACCCTCGTAAGGATTAGTCTTCAAATTACTACTACTAGTACTACTACTAGGGACTATACAGAACACGGTGAGAGTGAAAGTTGATCAAATCTATAGATCAACACTGCGGAATGCAGCGAAAAAGTTTTCATTTTACAATTAACCAGCTATTGTTATTAAGTTTAACTGCTCTTTATTTTTACTAAACTAATTTACAAAATAGACATGTTAAAACGGTGAATCTTCCGATATAACATTTCATAAATATATACTCCTACTACATCGTACATGATTGGGCTTTACCATACACTAGGCCTGGTACTAGTAGTACTACTACTACTACTAGTACTCGTACTCGTAGTAGTCTACAGTAGACATGGTAACGATGGTTTCTATTTACATCATACATGTCATGATAACGTTTACAAAATACAAGCTTGCTGTTGATAATCAATTACAATATATATTTATAATAGTCACCTACATTACTGTTGATTACTGCGCCGCATACAGTTGATGTTATCACGCAAATAATGTCCTGAGTTGTGTACACGAAACGTTAAACACCAGAAAACACGATAACACCAAAAATTTCAAGATTGGAAACCTCAACAGAATACCAAACAAGTGAGCAGATGTATCGCGTTGCGTTGCGCCATCTATCGTGCAAAATATCAAAAAAGTTGTTGCGTTATCACTACAAAATGTACCACAGCTCAGTAAAGTAAATAATCTATATCAGACGCTGTATGCTTATGGTCACCTAGATATCTATTTTAATAATTGTTGCAATTCTCATTTTTTATTTTCTTATGTTTTGCTATTTATTTATGAACACAATCTGCAACTGCTACATATTTCATAGCTTCATTTCTACGTCTACTCTATATTGGCCACCTACTGATGATTCTGCCAACGGGAGGCGCTAGTTGAAACTAAAATAAAAAATTTTCCTTCCCTTTGATTTTCTTGTTTGACTATTCCCTTTCATAGTTCATATCACTCAACATGCATTCAAGAAAGCATAAAGCCAATATAATTTTACTATTTATATATAGCTATTCCTTTTTTAGAACGAAGCACGGCGAGTATCGTGTGACATGACAGGCTATAAATCGTGACGGCCTCCAAGTGTAATCGTTGCTTTAAATAATGTAATAGTATTTATCTTTGACATTTACATCGACGTCTCTACCCTTCTTTTTTTTCACCAGCACAGCTCTCCTCTTGATTTTTTTGCCGAGTTTTTAATAACACAAGAGCTCCTGTGCTCGAGTTGTAATCGCATTGTATGTGAATTAAGGTTAACTAGGAATAAAGAATAGAAAAAAGCTCTGCAAACACCACAATGAAATGCAATTCACTACAGGTTTTATTGATGAAGCCTGGAAAGTGTAATGGGTTACATCCACTAACGTAACAGTGACAACAACAAGTGAACATGGCCTTATACTATACAGCAGGGAATAGAGGGAGTAGTCAACTCTCTTCAAGTTTCTGACACTCATCTGTACGTGTAACGAGTGGGCATAGATGCTAATATCATTGACAAACAGACAATTACATTATCTACACCTTCCTTCAGGATGTTAAAGGATCCTGAAATCCTTTAAAAAAATCGATAAAAAGCAGCGTAGTAACTATTAACGAACATCCAGAGGAAGATTACTAAGCCTATCTTGGCACATAGCCAAGATCGTTGTGTTCACTACGTATAGGGCATACCTGCCTGATAGTGGCTCTTACATATATATATATATACATCAGTAGTACATAATAGAGAAGAGTATTACACCGTTTTAACAGCGTTTTGTATAGTTTTCAACTTGAATTTATTATATCAATATGTGAATAAATATATTCAAACTTTACCTTGTTTTCGTCTCGATTTCTCCCTTAATCATATGACACCACCAGTTTACCTGAAAATCGTATGTGTTCTTCAAAAAAGTTATTTGAACACGACATGGTTTCACACGGTTTCCCCAAATGTTTGCATCTTATTGGCCAATGTTGATATGCGGCGGCAGCACCAGGTTGTAACTACGGGACGCTGGGGGCTGTTGAGGATATTAGGTAAGCACAGTAACAGCACTTGTTTCGCTTCCTTATCATCAGGAACACGATGGCAACACAGCTAAAATAAGCTGCTAGCTCGCCGTGGGGACACATTTATTTCTAGCACGCTGGAAACGCATTACACGCTGAATACAATTTGATGCCTAATATCCCCAACAGCCCCCAGCGGCCCGTCACAGACAATAGAACACTAATCCGATAACAAACATTGGCCGCTAAGATGCGAACGGTAGGGAGAACTGTGTGAAACTGTGTCGTATTCAAAAAACTTTTTTGAAGAACACATACTTTCCAGGTAAATTGGTGGTGTCATATGATTAAGGGAGAATCATAGACGAAAACAATGTAAAGTTTGAATATATTTATTCACATATTGATAGAATATTTTCAAGTTGAAAACTATGCAAAACGCTGTTAAAACGATGTCATACTCTTCTCCTATTATGTACTCTTGATATATATACAGCACTGTTAATTATTAGCAAAACCACCTGGGTGAAACAGAATTTCACGAAACACAGCATGAAGCACTGGAATTCCCCGGGGTTACGTAACATCCGTGGTTAAATCGCGCATTACCGCACCCAAGTGCGAATACCAAATCTGTGCATACCCAAGACAAAATACGCGATTTGCAGCCATACTATGCCAGTCTTATCCACGGCCTATACGTCATTACACTAGCCCTAGCTCTCCGCGAGCGACACCACACGCTATGTTGAGGTCACTTCTCAACGTCCGTCTCGGGAGACATGATGTTGACATCGGTGGGGTCGTCCTTGGAGTCAGTCTCCAGCAAGGGGCTCCCCGGTCTGTCGCTCGGTGCGGTCACCGCCTGTACACACACCAACGTGTAGAATGGTAAATGAAAAATATACAACACAAGGAAAGAAAAATATGTTAGGCAGGGAGAAAAGAGGAGGAGAGAGGGGTGGGAGATGGAGTGGGAAACTTATAGTTGAGAGAGGAAAGGATACAGGGAGAGTAGAGGGAAAGAATATGCGAGAGAGAGAGAGAGAGAGAGAGAGAGACGGGAAGAGAGAGAAAGAGAG